TGGTTGTTGTCAGCAGATGGTGCAGTGGTTGTTGTCAGCAGATGGTGCAGTGGTGGTTGTTGTCAGCAGATGGTGTAGTGGTGGTTGTTGTCAGCAGATGGTGCAGTGGTTGTTGTCAGCAGATGGTGTAGTGGTGGTTGTCAGCAGATGATGCAGTGGTGGTTGTTGTCAGCAAATGATGCAGTGGTGATTGTTGTCAGCACATGGTGTAGTGGTTGTTGTTGTCAGCAGATGGTGCAGTGGTTGTTGTTGTCAGCAGATGGTGCAGTGGTGGTTGTTGTCCGCCGATGGTGCAGTGGTGGTTGTTGTCAGCAGATGGTGCAGTGGTGGTTGTTGTCAGCAGATGGTGCAGTGGTTGTTGTTGTCAGCAGATGATGCAGTGGTTGTTGTTGTCAGCAGATGGTGTAGTGGTGGTTGTTGTCAGCAGATGGTGCAGTTGTGGTTTTTGTCAGCAGATGGTGCAGTGGTTGTTGTCAGCAGATGGTGCAGTGGTTGTTGTCAGCAGATGATGCAGTGGTTGTTGTTGTCAGCAGATGATGCAGTGGTTGTTGTTGTCAGCAGATGGTGTAGTGGTGGTTGTTGTCAGCAGATGGTGCAGTGGTTGTTGTTGTCAGCAGATGGTGCAGTGGTGGTTGTTGTCAGCAGATGGTGCAGTGGTGGTTGTCAGCAGATGGTGTAGTGGTGGTTGTTGTCAGCAGGTGGTGTAGTGGTTGTTGTTGTCAGCAGATGGTGTAGTTGTCGGATTGTTAGAAGGGATTCTGTTTCCTATCCTACTCATGTATCTCTCCTATTTTAAGTCTTTTTTCAGCCATCTTCATGGACTTAGACAAACATTTCAATTTTACTTCTCTCTAGAAAGAAAGACAAAAAGGACCCTCACACCTGCCAGCCATCTTAACTTCTTTCCCTTAAATACAATGCCCATATTTCTGTTTCCATGCTATCCACCCAACAGTCAACAGCTCCTCCAAACACTGTTCAAACCTCACCTCACTGGAAATGCAAGGCTAATTGGCTTGTTTGTCAGCCGGAAAACTCAATGCTAATTGGGTGGTTAGCCAAAATCATCAGTTCAAATTGAGTTGAGCCTTGTACAGTAAAGCTGCCCACTTCTCAGGAAAGTGAGCTAATGGTAGAAAGAAGAGCACTTGAGAGGAACTTAGAGTCCTTGGCAGCGCTCCGGAGGACAGCATTTCCATAAATCAAGATCAAATCCCATCAAAAGGAATAACCCCAAATTAGAATTCCTAGATGTGCAATCATGACAGTGTGATTACTTAAATTAACTTTAAAATTCCAAGGAAGTCAACAAAATATAAATGGTTACATCTGAGGACTGAATTAGTCATTCAGAAGATAATGTTGACAGCGGAAATTTCCCCAAAGGCTGAGATATGCTGTGAAAACAAAAGAAGATGAGGAAAAGGCTGAGAAAAGACCTGGACCATTTTCCATGAGACAGGAAGAATGTGGAAAGAGAACATTAAACAGTAGAGAAGTGGCTAACTTCAGTTTGAAAGGGTCCATCTAGATCCATAATTGGTAAGATTTCTACATTGCCAGGATGAGGGAGCATCACTAAACAGGAAGAGGGCTGCTTTGACCTCATGTGAACTGGATTGTAGGCATGAACATCACTCCTAGTGAGGTCTAGACTTAGAGAGAAATGATTCGAACATATGCCAGCTGGGTTAAAAGTAAAAATGTTCTAGATACAGACAATGAATTATAAGTGTCTTCTATACAGTTTTCTTAGACAGGTACCCAAGGCATCCCAGGAAGAGCTCACCTGGGAGGACAACAGCGAGAAGTCTGAGGATGATGGCTTCTCTGGGTGCTTCAATAGACTCAGTTCTGAATGAAGAGAAGCCAGACACCAGGGCCATTGAAGCAGTCTTCAGGAGGAAGGTGGGTAACCTCACATAAATGGCGGGAAGATGCTCTAGAAATATCGTTACAATCCATTACCAACACAATGGCAGCAACAGCCTCCTCCTCCTCCAAGTATAGGAAAATAAGTGGCCATTTGATATTCTGGGAAATAAAGAATTTTTCCAGAGCAAGTGGTGGCACACGCCTTTAATCCCAACACTTGGGAGGCAGAGGCAGGCAGATCTCTGTGAGTTCAAGGCCAGCATGGGCTACAGAGCGAGTTCCAGGACAGGTTCCAAAGCTACAATGAGAAACCCTGTCTTGGAAAACCAAAGAAGAAGAAGAAGAAGAAGAAGAAGAAGAAGAAGAAGAAGAAGAAGAAGAAGAAGAAGAAGAAGAAGAAGAAGAATTTTTTCAGAAAGTTGAGGTCTCAATATGAAGCTATCTAGATTCTGAAACATTAATGGTGTCTACCAAACAGCAACGGATCTTCTGAATAAATAGAGAATTTATTACAGGTCCTTGTTAAATAGAGCTTTGCCTTTGACTTCCCAAAGACATTTTCCATGATCCTTAAAGACTGGCTTTCCTGTAATAATTTTTTTTTGAAGAATTACTTTGTGTAACCAACTTAGGTGTAAAATTTTATTGTCATTTTCATCCTCTTACAAAAAAGAAAAACAAAACATTTATTTGTTACTGTTATCTACCATTGTTACTTTTGATTTCGATTAGACAATTTTCTGAGGCCCAATATATAGAAACTTAAATTTCTAGACATTAAGAAGTTATCAACTAAACAGTGTTCAATAACCCCAGCTTTATTGTTTCATGCTTGTGTAAGCTATTTGAAAGTCCCTTAGTGACTAACAGCTCTTATTTTGAAGAAACATATCCCTTCAGTTTAAAACAATTTAAAAATTTATTTCTATTTTATGCATATGGGTGTTTTGTCTGCATGTATGTCTGTGTACCATGTGTATGCAATGCCCCTGGAGGACAAGCAGATGTTTGAAATTGTTTCAATTAACACTGAAAGGCCTAAGTACTTATGGCTGAATTAGTACACTTGACAGAAGGAGCACAGGGCAGGAAAAGGCTCAACCCTGACCATTTTTTCCTGAGTAGCATTTGTGGGGCACAGAGTCTTTTTGAGAAATAGAAATAGAAATAATTTGTAGAGCTTGGGCATTTTCATGAGGGGCCTAAAATGAAAGGTTGAAGACCATGGGAACCCCTCAGAGGCAGGGTAATCTGGGGAAAGCCTTTCACCGAGGGACACTGGCTTTAACTTGTTTCCTTCCCGTGAAGCACAGGCCCGGCGTTCTGCCTGTAGGGAGAGAGTGAGCCTGGGGCTGTGCTTTGCATGTTATCTGTCTTCCGGGGTCCGTGTATTACCTGGTTGGTCCTCGTGGTGGCGCTGCTGAGAAAGAGTGGGACCTCTAGGAGGTCTCAAAAGAAAAGCAAAATAGTGGAAATGAAGAAATGGTTGAGGATCTAGTAGTGTGCAGTAAGGACACAATCCATGTGGCGGAAAGTAATCTGAAATTGAATCTTACAGAGAGAATTAGGTCTGCGCCCAGTCTTTCTCTCATCAAGGAAGTGAGCACTTGTGAGGGAGGAGGGAGGCATATGGTGGTATTTTATTTGTACTGAAATGTGATTTTAATTGTATGTTAATAAATAAATTCCCCGGGGGTCAGAGCTATTAGAGCCATAGAAAGAGCGTGGTGGTAGTAGCGCACGCCTTTAATCCCATAGCCCTCTGTGTGTTCAGGGATACAGCCAGCATTGGAGACATATGCCTTTAAGACCTGGAGAGCTGTACTTACAGGCAGTGATGAGGCAGTCATGTGTTTGGGTTTACAACCAATGAGAAGGCAGAACAGAAAGACTATTTAAAGACAGACACACAGGAAGTAGGTCTCTTTCAGGAAGCTAGGAGGACCGCAGGAGGAAGGGTGAGATTTTTAGCTCTGAGCTCTGACCTCTCGGCTTTCTCTTTTTTTTAAAAAAAAAAAACAAAAAACAACAACAAAAAACCCCTGATTCTTTAAACTTTTCTTAAAGTATGAATTCTATATCAAAATTTACAAGATTAATAGATATATAGATATATATACATTTTAAACTTTGTTAATATATGAATGGTCATATAGATTACTAACTAATTCTAGAAAAAAGGCTTCAATTAGCTGCATATATATGTCTTTGTGTTCAAGTCTGTTATCAGTTTTCTGCAGGAAATCACGGCCAGGCCTAACATCAACTGAAGTTTCCAGAAAGAAGATGGGGTCCCACCACAACAACAACAATTCCACGTGGACAATAACAATATCACTAAGCTGACAAACATCATCTACAGATCAACTTTGAACTACAAGGTGCTCAGAGCAATTTTGAGAGGGCTAGCTGAGATGATCCAGTCTCAAAGACTACTTGAATAAGGACTTGAGATAAACCCTGAACTTTGGC